CAGGAATAGGCTAAATATTTTCTGGCTTTGTTTATCCAACCAAACACAGCATACAATGCATCTGACTTTGTTTTATAAATTCCAAAAGAACATTTAGCACTGTTGTAATGGCCCTCTAACAAACTGATGCACAAGGTGCACATACAGGATATTCAGGCCAACAAATACGCTTGTAGGGTTCAACTGACTATATTTGGAATATGAGTTGCATATAACAAATGATAACTTTATGAAAGAATATACCTGAACCAATCTACTGAACCTCGAAGCACCTTTTCTTGAAATTGTTGTCTTATCCCCTTCTGAAGATTTTCCCTTTCTTCCTTAGTCCATTTTTTTGGATGCAGTGAAAGTGGGAACTTTGTTAAAGCCATTCTATAATTAGCAACTTGAGAGTTCTGTGGTGGACCATAATTTTTACCCAAGGACTTATCATTATCCTGCAGTGAAAATTTTGTTCTCAGAAGATAATCCCATGACAAATCAGAAGTCTTACAGTCAAACTTCATCAAATAAGTCCATTATACAGTTTATAGTTAAGAAAACACATGAAAACAAATAAAGAGTAGCTTATCATCCTTTCTTAATCAACTCATGTGGCTGATTCCAGTGAGCTTTGCAACTGAGATAAGCTGTTCTTCAGCAGTAATATTGCTTATTTTTATAAAATAAACCTTTTAAGATGCAGAACATTCAGTATTGATGTGGTAAGCCATAACAAGTTTGAAAGTTACCAATATGAAGAATGTTTCATACAAGCATAGATGAGCAAAAGGGAAAAACAAAAGAAAGAATTTCCTAAAGACATCCAATAAAGGCATAAAGAATTGAGATCAAACATAATTTCAAGTTAATAGTTCCCTTAAATCAATTCATGTACCTGATCTAGTTTGCTAGTTTTGTGGTTTTTAACTTACATAAGCTGTTGTAGGGCAACAAAATAACATAATTTACTAGAAAAGAACCTTTTATATTATGCAACAATTTGAAAACCATAACAAATTTGGAAGTCACCAATTTGGAGAACATTTCACACAAAAACACACCAATATGATCATACGAGTGAGAGTAAGAATGAACTGACACTGACATAAAGCATTCACAATTCACATGTCTAGTGAGATGAAAATAAAGATTGATGGTTAGAGAACATTAAAGATTCCAAATTTCCAAGTCTGAATCAACAATGATATTTACTAGTTTTCTTGATCTTCTTCATAAAAAACTGAGTGTATGATCATTCCATTATAGTAAAAACAGTCACCTAAAATCCCCCAACTTGCACCTGAAACAAAAGGGGAAAGGATAGATATCTAACATTCCTGCTAAATTGTTTATCAGGAGTATTCATTTAAGAGAATTAAAATAGAAACCAAATGAGTTACATCAGTAAACTATAGTTCTTATACTTAGGTTTGAGTAATTCCCTTATCACTTTGGATCAGACTACATGAATCTACTTACATTTCTCTTTTCATTTTTGGTGCAATCCCAGATCCCAATGGTCAGATCACAAGCTCTATATTTTATTTAGAAATCAAATTTCAGTGTCTAATATGCAAAACCTAAAAGTTGTTGCACATCTCTTTCTTTTTG